CATTAATACAGTTGATTTTTATATTTATCGGATTAACCGTATGTTATTTTTAACTTTTATAGTCGGTTAAAAATAGCAACGATATAACAGGGTAAAAAAAAGAAATACCAATAAAAAAAAAGGAAAAATTAATTAATATTCATATATATAATATTATGTGGTATGTAGCAAATAAAAGTTGTAATAATTTATTAAAATATCTAGAGTATGTTGGATTATGTTATCCCGCTTTAACTAATTTATAGGTAACTCATTAGTCATAAACTCATAACATATTTATTACATTTTCTATACATATTTTTATAATATTCTACATGTTTTACTTTTTTTTACATATTTAATACATATTCTTATAATTCTACATTTTTAAACATATTTATACTACATACCTAAGTGACGTTCTTCAAGAATATTTGTTAAATGAAAATAATAAATGATATGGCAACGTTGCACGTAAATTCGTTCTCAATCGTATTCTTTTTTGGGTTTTTTTTTTGGGTCAGCGGTAAGTTCTTTGTTATTTTTAACTTTTAAGTGTTCTCAATCGTTTGGCCAAAAAGGTATAATGTTCTCAATCGTTCGATAGCCAAAAAAAAACCCGCACCCAACTAYAGTGTAGTATCTGCGATTTAACCCTATAGTACTTGGGACCCTACTCGGATGCGCCGGTATWAACGTCCGTACTAAGTCCTAACTTAAAGCATACATTTAGGTGACTGATRTATTATCTGATTTAACTGTTTTGGTTTACTCTATCGTCGGACCGTTAAATTTAAAAAAAATGGAATAAATTATGTCTCTARTAATATTATGTTCCAAATATAGAAGTTATAATAGTATTATATCATAATTTATACGCGTAAATCAAACGGTCAACTTACGGCAAGTAGTTTTTTTTTATGTGCAATATTGTCCGTCTATTCCATAGGTATATGATTGTTGTAATATTTCTGGGAGAGAATCATTATTATCATTATTTTTTTCTTTGAACGATTATGATTATAAAAACATTTAATTTTAATTTAMTTTTTTTAGCTTCGTATTTTAATTTAATTTAATTCATGGAATTTCGGATAACATAATTGAGCAGAWTGTTACATAACACGAAAAGATCGAAGATCGCACTACCCTTCAAAATATGTAACAACTATTTTTTTTTTTTTTTACTACGCACGTACAAACGGCTACTTACCTAAACATTAACTTCGATCTCTGTAAAAACGCTTAATGAATAAAATAGTATTATAAGGGACAAATCGATGATCAAGTGACATGTTATAGTCATAATATAAGTAATAAGTTGTTAAAAGTGTCCATAATGTTATGGATTAAGATCAAAGACACAAATGAAAGTAATCATATATGCACGAGCATCTCACCTAAAATAGGAACTACTATCATTGCAAAACACAGTTAGGTATCTATGATACAAAATTGAATGTTAACAACGTAAAATGCGACAAAAAATTTGGCACATTGAGTATATACATTTATACTAAACAATAACGATTTAAAAAAAGAATACGGAATATTAATTTATTCATATCTTAAATTTACGGGTAGTTTAAACAWTACGTACCCGATGGATATGGATTTTGGGAACATCGGAATACGATCGTCATGATCAAAATAGCGTGTTAATATACAGTGAAATTATTTTGATCTGTAGATAATATTATTATAAATTCGTGTARTGAAATATTTAAACSTTAGGGTAATATTATGTAAACATTATATTATATATTATTAATATACCAGTTTTAGGCAGAGCACCCACAAGAGGGAAGGGATGACGCTGGACCTGGAATATATGGGTCCGTTTAAATGAATTTGTAATTTTTGAAATATTAATAGAAATACTTATTTTATATTAAACAATATTTTACTRTATAAATGTATATTATGATATATCGAGTAGGTAATTTTATTATTTTAAGCTATGGGTTAGCCATTGATTTCCAAGAAATCAATCCATCCAAGAAATGGGACACCTATATCGTTTGTAATGGATTGTATTTTGTCGAAAGTTTTGTATAGGGCCAACAAAAATATTATGCACGTGGATCATACAATTGATATGGGTGGCCTGGATAGGTACCTATATTGTAAATATGGTTCACCAAGTGATGATAACCCAGCAGTATACCAAACGGGACGGAATGCAATATTTCAATATGTACGACGGAAAATCATTAAAGGAAACTTTAATATCAATCTATATTGTGGCATGGTATAATCTATGGTACAAATAAAAAGAAGTATGCTAAACACGAACCTTGTTTTCGTCTTAGTTCCTGCATGTGTAACGCCTTGAGTTTTTGTGCATATTGCATTGTATAAGATTAAATGTATACGGGTGACGTCATCTTGAATTTATTGATGGTTGCATATAATAAGCATTGTTCTTTAACAAAAATTTGCACGGTCTTATCATTGAGTAGCATACTTCTTATCATGGTAGAATCTATCGTCCACAGGGTAAAGTGGCGACGATCGATGTGAGAATCGTGGATATGAGATTGGTGCAGTGAGAGGATTGGCTTTTTTTGTAATTTTTGTTCATTTTCGGAACGATTTTAGGAAAAACGAGATCTTGGTCTACAGCTATTATATACCGGCAACCAGAAAAAAAAATAAAACCAATCGAATCGGTGAAAATCTTTTGACTCAGAAAAACGCCTAAAAATTGTGCCTACAAAATATCGCAGGTTTCTGTTTTCCTGACACGTTTTAGTTGTAGCGTCRTTTGGCTTTTAGCTTTAACTATCGGTCCTGTCACAGTCGACGTCAAGGACCAAATATCCAAGGACAAAATATCCAAACTAAAATATCTAATGACAAAAATATCCAAATTTATCTGTTTTTACGTAAATTAGTAAATTACACTTTACTTTATAATAAAATTAACTCAAATATCAAATTATTTAATTATAAAAATATACCTAATATAATGAAAAAAAACCAGGATAAATATTTGCTGGAGTGGTAGCAAAAGTGGACCGTAAAACAAAAGCTCCTGCAGATGCCAACCGAAGAAATCATGAAAAGAAGATTAAGGAGACAAAAATTGAAGAACAATCCAATAAACCTAACTGTCTTAATCAATTAATTATTGAAAATGATTGGTGTTATTTGGATGACAAATCAACACGATTTTTGTTGCACGATAACGGAATTGACGAACGGATGATTGTTTAAAATATCTAACTGAATCTTCTACATGGTATATGGACGGACATTTTTTAATGGCTCCACTAATATTTCAACGTCATTCGAATTAAAGTAAATAGTGTTTTTATAGCTGCCGCTTTTATTTTGCTTAAAAATAAAACAGAATCTAGTTACGAAGAAATGCTTCAAATCATAATACATAAATGTGCCGAAAGAAATTTGTTTCCGGACCCACAGATAATTAATGTGGACTTTGAAAAAGCTGTAATCAATGCTATGAAAACTGTTATTGGAGAAGATGTACAAATCCAGGAATGCTTTTTTCATCTCTGTGTACCCACAGAAAAATATAACAGTTAGGTCTTGAACAATAATTGTACAGGTCAAATGAAGAGTTTTCCCATTTTTGTGGCATGTTAGACAGCCTGGCGTTTTTACCAATAAATCATATTAATACAGGTAAATATAGTTATAACTTAAAATATAATTTAATAATTTTAAATATTTAAAAAATTTTAAATTTTAAATGTCCATTAATAGCTTGATTTGTTCAAGGATTAAATTATTTAAAAAGTATCATGCCTGAAGAAGCTACAGATTTGGTCGAGTATTTTGAGCGCACATATGTAGGGTAGTATAAAAAAATTGGGAACGGGCAATTGGAGACACGTATAAGATTTCGAAAAAAAATCTCCTCATTTTCCACCATTTGTCTGGAATGTAAGAGACGTAACATTAAACAACGGAGATCAGACTAACAATATACTCGTATGTGAGGGATGGAATAATCGGTTTTCCAACTTAGTAAGTACTTATTCATTATTAGGTATTAAAATTCAATTAAAATATTTAATATAATTTGTTTAATAT